AGGGGAAGATTGGAGGCTCTGGGTGGGCACAGGGGAGGTGCCAGGCTCTGCTGCCAGGGAAAGCAGAGCAGTGCCCGTGGCCTGCTGGGCATGGGGAGCAGCAATCTGCACCTCCTCGGGCAGCCTGGGCAGGGTCTGCAGTGTGGGGCTCACCCTTGGCTCCAGCACAGGGACTGGGGCTGAGGGCACAGCTGGGGACGGGGCAGCAGGGACAGGATTGGCTGGCACTGGCTCAGAACTGACTTCTGCTCTCCCTGCTGGCTGCCTGGCCACAGTGGGCAGAGCAGTCCCAGCTCCCACAGACTTCCCAGCGGCATAGGAGGGACCGGTGTTCACTGGGGTGCCCTGGCTGCTGGCAGGTGTCCCCATGCTGGTGGCCAGGGGGGCCATTCCGAGGCCACCCTGAGGAGGGGGCAGCCCCTGTGCCCTGTCCCTGGGCAGCAGGACAAACACAGGCCTGACCAGGACCAGGCTGGAGGGGCTCAGCTGGGAGTGTGCCAGGCCCAGCACTGAAGAGTTGGGGGCTGCCAGGACCTGCTGGATGGAAAGGAGCCCCCCAAGGCTGGAACTGGGGAATCCAGGGGGCAGAGGGGAATCCTGCATGGGCTGCAGGCAGATTGTGCTCTCAGTGCTCTGCAGCACGAAGGACAGGAGTGGGGACGAGGGCAGCAGGGCCAGGGGCTCCCCTCTGGCTGTGCTGGGGCTCTCAGCAGCCGCACCAGGGCCTGTCCTGAACTGGTGCCCCAGAGCCTGTGCCAAGGCTGCTGGCACCTCCCTGGGCACCCCTGGGCCAGGCTGGGCTGGGGGCGAGGGCAGGGCAGGAGCTGCCAGCTCAGGGGGGCTGGGGGGGACAAGGCTGGGAACTGCCTGGGGCCTGTGGCTGGGTGCTCCAGAGGGGCTGGGGACAGGGCTGGATGCTGGGGACAGGGCTGGGGCCTTGGGGACAGGGCTGGATGCTGGGGACAGGGCTGGAGAATCAATTCTGGGGACAGGGCTGGATGCTGGGGACAGGGCTGGGGCCTTGGGGACAGGGCTGGATGCTGGGGACAGGGCTGGAGAATCAGTTCTGGGGACAGAGCTGGATGCTGGGGACAGGGCTGGGGCCTTGGGGACAGGGCTGGCTGCTGGGGACAGGGCTGGAGAATCCCTTTTGGGGATGGGGCTGGCTGCTGGGAACAGTGGTGGAAGATCAGTTTTGGTGACAGAGCTGGCTGCTGGGGACACTTGAGGAGAATCAATTCTGGGGACAGGGCTGGATGCTGGGGACAGGGCTGGGGCCTTGGGGACAGGGTTGGATGCTGGGGACAGGGCTGGAGAATCAGTTCTGGGGACAGAGCTGGCTGCTGGGGACAGGGATGGAGAACCAGGTTTGCTCCTTCTCCCTGTGCTCACCTGCAGCATCCCAGCCAAGGCTCCCTGGGGCATGGGAGGGGCAGAAGCTCCTTGGAGCTGGGAGCCAGAGCCGGGAGGTGAGGACGAGGTGCTCGGGGTGTGGAGGCCCGTGGGCTCCATCCCAGCAGCAGCAGAGGCAGCAGGAGGCTGGAGCCCTGCTGGGACAGGATCCCAGGGCAGGAGGTCACCATTCCCAAAGGTGGGCATGCCTGGAGAGAGGGCAGGGGTTGCTTCTTTGGGAGCTGGGGAAGGTCTGGGTGTGGAAATCCACAGCTGGGTTAATGAGGATGAGCTCGGAGGAGGCTGTGGGCTCTCAGGGGAGGGAGGATTCCCAGGGCTCCCTGTCCCTGCCCAGGGAGCAGCATCTCCTTGGATTGCCATTTCCTGGGAGCTCCTGTTGCTCCCCAGGGGAAGGTGCTCGGTGCAGCTGAGAGGCAGAGAGAGGGGCTGCTGTCCATCGCTGGTGCCAGCCTGGAATGGAGATGGAAGGGATCCCTCAGCAGCTGGGGCTTCCATCCACAGTGCAGAAGGGAGGCTGTGAGGAGCAGGCAGCTGGGCTGGGTGTGCTGAGCCCTTTGTGACAGCTGAGCTTGAGTTCCTGCCTTTGCTGCTCGTGCCAGGGCTGGGAGCAGCTCCTGGGCTCGGGGAGGTGCCCTCAGCCCTGTCCCCCTCGGTGCTGGGCTCGGGGCTGGGCTGGGCTGCTCCAGCAGGGCTCAGGGCCAGCGCCCCACTGCCAGCACGGCCACTCCTGGAGGCACCTGGGGACACAGGACAGCCCTTGGGGTTAGCTGGAGTCAGCCCTGAGCTGCTGCAGCAGCACCTCAGCACAGCTGAACGGGGCCGCACTGCCAGTGCCAGTCCCAGTGCCAGTGCCAGTCCCAGTGCCATTCCTGGTCCTAATCCCAGCCCCATTTGCAATCCCATTCAAATTCCCAGCCCCAATCCCATTCCCAGTTCCATATTCCCATTGCTATTCCCAGTCCCGTTCCCACTCCCATTCCCATTACAATTCCCAGTCCCATTCCCAGCCCTATTCCAATTCCCAATCTCATTCTCAGTCCCAGTCCCATTCCCAGTCCCACTCCCACTCCCCTTCCCATTCCCAGTTCTATTCCCACTCCCATTCCCACCCTCCTCCTCTGCTGCTGCCACTCGGCACCACCTGAAGCACCCAATGCATGAAGGAGCCAGAGAGGAGCCCTTGATTTCCAGAGAGGAGCCCCTAAGGCTGGCCCAGGACAGGCAGGAAAGCAGCAAGAGCAGAGCCAGAGAGGCAGAAAAGCAGCAATAGCAGAGGCAGAAAAGCAGCAGAGCAGCAGTTCTGGAAAGCAAACCAAAGCCCAGCACTCACCTGACAATTCCAGCAGTGCAGCTGCCAGCAGGACCAAGAGGGGGAATTTTTCCTGCATGTCCTGAGCCATCCCAGTGAAGGATGTCCCAGCTGGCAGCAGCTCCCTGGGCTCACTGCTGCCTCCCAGGTGCTGCTCTGCAGGGCAGCAGAGGGCTGGGTCACTTTATAGGAGCTTAGGCCAGACACCAACCAATAACCTGGTTCAGGAAAAAAAACCCTGCACCAATTGGAATCAATGGGTTTTGAACAAAAGAGCAGAGCTGGGCAGGTTTGCATCCAAAAGGTGGAAAATGTGCCTGTGAACACCAGAGCAGCCCTGGGCAGGGGTTGAAACCCTCCCTGGGGAGGATGTGAGGGGCTTGGGGGCAGCCAGAGCAGGGGAACAGAGCTGAGAGTGCCCCTGGCAGGCTCAGGGCTCTGTCAGTGCCCACTTTGGAGAAAAGCAGGATCAGGGGAGACCTCCTGGCTCTCTGCAGCTGCCCAGGAGGACATGGAGACATGGAGGGGAGATGCTGAGTTCAAGCTCGGTATTAGGAGGCATTTTTTAGCCAAAAAGGAGGTAAAACACTGCAAGGGTTCCCTGGAGAGGGGATTTTGTACAATGCCCTGAACACACTCTGACTTCTGCTCAGCCCTGGAGAGCTCAGGCAGCTGCACTGGGTGATGGTGTTGGCCATTTTTAACTGAACTATTCTATAATTCTGATTTTTTTTTGCCAGTTTGTGGCACTACAAACATCCACAGGGATCAGCCTGGATCCTAGGGAGGAACAGAAACCACAGTGAAACCAGCACAGAGCTCAAACCTTCCTGAGCAGAGAGAGCCCAGAGGCTTCTGGGGCACAATCACAGCTACACCCTTTCTTTTAGCCACAAAGCCCCCAAATACCTGTAAACATCCCCTGCAGGCAGCACCCAGCAGGAATCAGTGCCAGGCACACAAACAGTGCAGGCTGAGAGAGGATCCTGACACTGCCCTGCCTGTGTGAGGGCACTGAACACCTGAGCAGGGGCAGATAAGGGCCCTAATGACAGCTGGGAACAACAATGTTCTCCATTATTCAACAATATTCTCCATTATTCAACAATATTCACCATGATTCAACAATATTCTCTATTATCCAACAATATTCCCCATTATTGAACAATATTCCCCATTATTTAAAAATATTCCCCATTATTGAACAATATTCTCCATTATTGAACAATATTCCCCATTATTTAAAAATATTCTCCATTATTCAGCACAAATCTCCCTTATTGAACAATATTCTCCATTATTTAACAATATTCTCATTATTGAACAATATTTTCCATTAGTCAACAATATTCCCCATTACTGAACAATATTCTCAATTATTCAGCACTATTCCCCATTATTTAACAATATTCCCCATTATTTAACAATATTCTCCATTATTGAACAATATTTTCCCCACTGCCCAGGCTGGGCCAGGGTCCAGCAGGAGCTCCCTGACCCCAGGGCCAGCCCAGCCCTGCCCTTCCCTCCCTGTCAGGGCCCTGCAGCTTTTCCCCCTCCCACAGGAAGGAAAATTCCTGTGACCTGCAGAGCACCTGAGCCCTCAGGTGGGGGTTTTTACCTGTGTTTGCAACCCCAAACCTCCCAGATTATTAAACTGGGTTGATCTGTTGCACCCTTTCCATCCTAGAACATCCCTTCTCTCCAGGGGTGGGAAAAACGTGTATTTTATGATTGGCTTTTCACAAATATTCTTATAACTCTAATTATAAATTTATAATTTATAAATATAAATTTATAAATTTATAATTTAATTTTATAATTTATAAATATTTTACTTTTACCATTTAAAAACAAAGGGTTGGTGTTTTTCACAAGGGGGAAGCTGATCCAGCTGCTCTCTCTCTCTCTGGGAAAAGCTGCTGGAGAATTTGAGGGGACAAAGGTTCCCCCCAGAACTGACACCCCCAGGTGCTAAGGACAGGAGCTGAAGAGCCATTTCAAACTCAAACTGGGCTGGCCTGTGCTTATTCTTCACAGAAATGTCATAAATGCTTCTGTTTCCTGTGTTCAAAACCAACAAAAAAAGCTACACTGTACTAATGGCCATTTATTAAATTCATGTCAATTATTAAAGCAAAGGCAGCCTAATGCAGGGGAGTATTTTATCTGGTAGCTGAGATAATAAATCAACTCCTTCCTCCTGATTTTGCTTCACTGCCTTCTGTGAGGGACCAAAACCACTCCAAAAAGCCACTGAAAAGCTGATGTGCTTTGAATTAATTTTATTAAAGCAACGAAAACTCAGGAGCAGCGAGATGAAGGGCACTGGGGAGGGGCTCTGAGGAGCTCAGCTGCTCTGCACGTATTTCATGGAGGAGTTCAGGATGGCCAGGCCATTGAGCTTCCTCAGCTGATGGATGTGCCTGCAGAGACAACAGGGGGACAGCTGGTGACTAAACATTAAAGTTTTAACCTCTCACTGCTCTGCCCAAGCTTTCAGGGGTGTTTCATTCTATAAAGAGTTCAGTATATTCAATATAAAATGTTGAATATAAAATATTCAATATTCTATATATTATATAAAATATAATCTATGTATTTATATAAAATATAATTTATTCATTATAAACCAGATATTATTATTATTATTATTATTATTATTATTATTATTAATAATAATAATAATAATAATAATAATAATAATAACAACACAGAGTTAATGCAGATACTCTTAATAGAGTTTCTAGTTATCATTGCCCTCAGAAAGGCACATAAATGACATTCTTCAAATAGGTTAATTTCAGATTAAGAAAACTAAGAAAAAGAGTTTCCCTTCTATCTCTGCTGTTTCAGACAAATCTCAGGGCTGATGTTTTCTCTACTGCTCATTTGGGGTCTACAGACTCCTAACAGGTCTGAATATCCCAAATGAGCAGCATTTCTTCCAGCACAGGTCAATGAACTCCTTGAGAGATGTGGGGACAGAACTGGCACCCCAGGAGCCCTAAAGGGATTTGGGGACAGATCACAAGGGGGAGTTCTGGCTGGGGGAAAGAAATGGAATTCATGGAGTGTTTATCTAAATTAACCCAACAACTCCAGATCTTCCCCTGGTTGCTTTCTCAGGGATAACAGAATAGGGAAATAAAAAAATATAACAGAAATCACAGAATAATAATAACAACAAAATAACCGAAAAGGGAGATTAAGAAAGGGGGTTCTGGGGCTTACCTTGGCTCAGCCACACAGAGCCTGCCCAGGGCAATGGCCGAGTTCTGCTGCACTGAGGTCCTGGCAGCATCACCCCCAGCGTGCCTGAGCAGCAGCTGCACCACCCCAGAGCCCAGCAGGGCCGAGGCAGCCCCGGGCAGCAGCAGGCACTGGCTGAGGCAGAAAGCTGCATTGGCCACGGTCAGCTCATCCCCGGAGCGCAGCAGCGCCAGCAGCAGCCGGAGCCCTGCAGGAGGGGAAATCTCGGTTAGACACAGCCAGGGCTGCACCTGGAACCCTGCAGGAGGGGAAATCTCGGTCAGACACAGCCAGGGCTGCTCCTGGAACCCTGCAGGAGGGAAACTCTGTCAGACACAGCCAGAGCTGTACCTGGAACCCTGCAGGAGGGAAACTCTGTCAGACACAGCCAGAGCTGTACCTGGAGCCCTGCAGGAGGGAAACTCTGTCAGACAGAGCCAGGGCTGCTCCTGGAACCCTGCAGGAGGGGAATCTCGGTTAGACACAGCCAGGGCTGCACCTGAGACCCTGCAGGAGGGGAATCTCAGTTAGACACAGCCAGGGCTGCACCTGGAACCCTGCAGGAGGGGAATCTTGGTTAGACACAGCCAGGGCTGCACCTGAGACCCTGCAGGAGGGAAACTCTGTCAGACACAGCCAGGGCTGCTCCTGGAACCCTGCAGGAGGGAAACTCTGTCAGACACAGCCAGGGCTGCTCCTGGAACCGTGCAGGAGGGGAATCTCGGTTAGACACAGCCAGGGCTGCTCCTGGAACCCTGCAGGAGGGGAATCTCGGTTAGACACAGCCAGAGCTGCACCTGGAACCCTGCAGGAGGGAAAATCTTGGTTAGACACAGCCAGGGCTGCACCTGAGACCCTGCAGGAGGGAAACTCTGTCAGACACAGCCAGGGCTGCACCTGGAACCCTGCAGGAGGGGAATCTCGGTTAGACACAGCCAGGGCTGTACCTGAGACCCTGCAGGAGGGAAACTCTGTCAGACACAGCCAGGGCTGCACCTGGAACCCTGCAGGAGGGAAACTCTGTCAGACACAGCCAGAGCTGTACCTGGAACCCTGCAGGAGGGAAAATCTTGGTTAGACACAGCCAGGGCTGCACCTGAGACCCTGCAGGAGGGAAACTCTGTCAGACACAGCCAGGGCTGCTCCTGGAACCCTGCAGGAGGGAAACTCTGTCAGACACAGCCAGGGCTGCTCCTGGAACCGTGCAGGAGGGGAATCTCGGTTAGACACAGCCAGGGCTGCTCCTGGAACCCTGCAGGAGGGGAATCTCGGTTAGACACAGCCAGAGCTGCACCTGGAACCCTGCAGGAAGGAAATCTCGGTTAGACACAGCCAGGGCTGCTCCATCAGCACCTGGAACCCTGCAGGAGGGAAATCTCGGTTAGACACAGCCAGGGCTGCTCCTGGAACCCTGCAGGAGGGGAGATCTCGGTTAGACACAGCCAGAGCTGCTCCATCAGCACCTGGAACCCTGCAGGAGGGAAATCTCGGTTAGACACAGCCAGGGCTGCTCCAGCAGCACCTGGAACCCTGCAGGAGGAAAACTCTGTCACACACAGCCCAGGGCTGCACCTGGAACCCTGCAGGAGAGAAATCTTGGTTAGACACAGCCCCAGCAGCTCCTGGAACCCTGCAGGAGGGGAGATCTCGGTTAGACACAGCCAGGGCTGCACCTGGAACCCTGCAGGAGGGGGAATCTCTGTCACACACAGCCAGAGCTGCTCCAGCTGTGACTCTGGTGCTGTTTGCCTGGAAAAGCTGGGGAAAAAGGGGATTTCATGGTGGTTTCAGCAGCCAGGAGCTGCCTCAGCTCCTCTTGGCCATAGATCTCTCTCACAGAGAGCTGAAGGTGCCACATCACAGAATCACAGAATCCCAGAATCCCAGAATCACAGAATCACAGAATGGTGAGGTTGGAAGAGACCTCTAAGATCATCGAGCCCAACCTGTGCCCTCACACCTCAACCAGACCATAGCACCCAGTGCCATGTCCAGTCTGTTTTTAAACACATCCAGAGATGGTGATTCCAGCACCTCCCTGGGAACAGCATTCCAGTGCTTTATTATTAACTGCCTTAAAGCAGAGATGCTGCTGTGGAGAGAACAGCTCGAAAAAGGAACATAAAAAAAGCTGAGACATTGTTGTGGAGAGAATAGCTGGAAAAATGAACATAAAAAAGCTTCCTGTGCATCCAGACCTACCAAAGCTCAGCTGTGAGCTGCCCCTAAGGATGGCAGAGTTTTGGCTTCTCACACCTGAGAGCAGCAGCAACATCTCAGGCCAGAATCCTGAACACTCAGAGGTCACTGAACACGGGCTGGATAAATCCAGGACGAGAGGGAGAAACAGCCCCCAGGCCTGGAAATCAGGGCTTATATTAATAGGAAATGACCAGTTTCACTTACTTTTATCCCCCTTCAGCAGCTCTTCCTGAGCTCTCTTGCTGCTCTTGGTGCAGACGGAAAGGGTCTTTATGGCATAGCTGGAAGTGAGCTGTCCCCCAGCCTGAAGGGGCAAACACAGGGAGCAAAAAACCCAGTGAGCAAAAAACCCAGGGAGCAAAAAAATCAGGGAGCAAAAAACCCAGGGAGCAAAAAACCCAGGGAGCAACAAACCCAGAGAGCAAACAAAGTGAGCAAACCCAGGGGCACACTCAGCTAAATAAAAACCTTCACAGGGCATTGATCTCAGGGTGAACATGAGCTGAGAATCACAGAAATCTCATTTAATTCCTGCCAGTAATGAACACACAGCATTCCCTGGGTCTCTGCAGGCCAATCCTTTTCAAATCAGCTCCCCTTGACAAAGAGCCCCGTGCCACAGATTTTTTTTTCTAGACTAACTTGCTCTGCATAAACACCTGCTGGGCACAGATATACATCAAAATTAAAGAAATAAAATTAAAGAATAATTAGAATTAAGAATTAAAAAAAAATTAAGAAAAAAGAATTAGAGGAAAAAAGAAATGAAAAAATTAAAGAAAAAAATTAAAGAAGAATTAGAATTAAGGTTTTTTAAAAAAAATGTAAGAAGAAAGAATTAAAGAAAAAATTAAAAGAAAAAAGTTAAAGAAAAAAATTAAGAATTAGAATTAAGAATTTTTTTTAAATTTAAGAAGAAAGGAAAAAATAAATGAAAAAAGATTAAAGAAAAAAATTAAAGAATAATTAGAATTAAGAACGAAAAAATTTTAAGAACAATTAAAGAAAAAATTAAAATAAAAAATTAAACAAAAACATTAAAGAAGAATTAGAATTAAGAATTTTAAAAAAATTTAAAATGAACCCCGGGAGCAGTGTTACAATGGACAAGGATGCAGACACAGCCTCCAGGATAAAGCCAGGGGGAGGTAGATTTGCTCAGGGGACACTGCAGGCAGAAATAAAGGAAGTTGGATTTACTTTCAAGAATTTGAGCATTTTCTTCACCACTCCTGCTCCCACCACCTCCTGCACGGCTGAGGGGGACGCAGGCAGGACACGGCTCAGCACTCCAGTGGCTCTCTAAGCCAGGGGGAAAGAGAGAGAAACAAAACAAAACTTTTATTAGTCCAGGCAGCTTAATTGGTTTGTTCTTGCATGGTAAAACTGAAGTAATTCAAGTGCTGGAAGGAGAAATTCACAGGAATTAAGGAAATCCCAGAATTGCAGAGTCTAACAAAGAACATCTTCAGGATGTGGCTTTTTTGGAAACTGAGCACAGCAGAGCTTCAGCACAGGGAGAGAGGAACCCAAACTGGGACCCTGGGTGTTCGTTCATTAAAAAATAAAACCACAAACTCCTGGTAGAGAGCAGAGGCACTGAGAGAGGTGGAACAGCTCAGAGCAGCTCCTGGGAGCTCAGGAAGGGACTGAGAGCCCCCATCTGTCCCTGCCTGCAGGAGCTGCTCTCCCTGAGTCCCACCCCATTCCAGCTGTAAATCCCACACAAGAACTGCAAAGGGAAACAGCTCAACACCCAAACTGCTCTGGCTGCTTTGCTTCTCCGCTGATTTTTAAAGGGTTTCACACTGAAATGGTTTTTAAGAGCTTCTATGAAGCAGATTTCAAGGGAACCTTGAAAACCTCCTGCATCAAACCATATAAAAATGATTATAAAAGTGGTTTGTTATTTCTTTATTGCTATTAGGAATGTTTTAGGCTTCAAAGCCTCCTGCACAGGGCAGAAGTTGGCTCTGAAGAGCTCAGGAGAGCCAAACCCAGCTTTGGTGGGTGACTTACTGTGACAATCCTTCCGTCCTGGTGGCTGAGCAGAGCCAGGCACCTGCCACTGATGGGCACAGCAAAGTCCTGGAAAACACAGGGGAAAATCAGGGGGAAAATGGGGAAAACTCAGGAGAAAATCAGGGGGAACATGGGGAAAACTCAGGGGAAACACAGGGGAAACTCAGGGGGGAAATGGGGAAAACTCATGGGAAACTCGGGAAACACAGGGGAAACAATACAAGGAAAAGTCAGGGAAAACTCACGGGAAAAATGGGGGAAACTCAGGGGAAACTCGGGGGAAAAATAGGAAAAACACAGGGGAAACTCAGAGGAAACACAGGGGAAAACTCAGGGGAAACTCAGGGGAAAAATGGGGGAAACTCAGGGGAAACAATACAGGGAAAAGTCAGGAGAAAGTCAGGGGAAAGTCAGGGGAAATAACACAGGGAATACTCAGGGAAAAATACACAGGGAAAACACAGGGGAAACTCAGGGAAAACACAGGGAAAACAACACAGGGAAGAAAACACGGAATACTCAGGGGAAAGTCAGGAAAGAAAACATAGGGAAGAAAACACAGGGAATATTCAGGAAAAAGATAGGGGAAACTCAGGGAAATCTCAGGGAAAACTGAGCTGGGAGGGCTGGAGCAGAAATGGGTCCAAGGCCAAAGGAATGCCCTGGAGCTCAGGGGACAGCAGGAGTCAGCAGCTCTGCAGCAACCTGGGAACTCCTGATGGGATCCTGAGCTTTGGAAAATTGGGAATGTGGAACCAGGACCTCAGAACACAGCACAGCTGGAGAGGGATTCCAAACAAAACATTGACACCACCACAGAAAGATCATTTGTGCACTCGACACTGGTTTTTCCTCATGGCTCTTTATATATTGGAGGTGGTGGCAGAGGAGAAAATTCTGAAGCTTTTTTCACTTCCCAGCCTACTTAAATTATCACCCACCCTTAAAAACAACCTGCAACACTGTAATTTTTATTTTTTTTTAAATTCCCAGAGGTTTCTTACCTGGATGGTGCCGTTGGATTCAAGCAGCAGGTTCATCATCAGCCCCAGGACTGCAAACACACAGTCCTGGTACCCAGGGCTGGCATCAGGGCTCCCATCCTGGCACAGAGCAGCAGAATCAGCACCAGGGCAGGACAGGCCCTTCCTGGGGCAGCTCCAGGGCAGGAAAGGTTCTGGGAGGAGCAGAACTGAGGCCACCCCACGACACCAACCCACGTGTGGCACCCAAAGCTGCACCCCAAAGCTGCACCCCAAAGCTGCACCCCAAAGCTGGGATGTTTGGGGCGTCACAAAGATCCTTCCCACCCCATGAACCTTCAGGGTTTGGGGACTGTGCTCACAGCACAGCCTCCTCTGGAACGTGCTACAATCCTGGAATTTTAAACTGTCTGTGCTGAAGAATTTAAAACTAGAATTTCAAACTTTCTCTGCTGAAGAACTTTAAAGTAGAATTTTAAACTTTCTGTGCTGAAGAAATTTAAACTAGAATTTTAAACTTCATGCGCTGAAGCATTTTAAAGTAGAATTTTAAACTTTGTGCGCTGAAGAATTTTAAAGTAGAATTTCAAACTTTCTGTGCTGAAGAATTTTAAACAAGAATTTCAAACTTTATGTGCTGAAGAATTTCAAACAAGAATTTCAAACTTTCTGTGCAGAAGAATTTGAAACTTTCAGTGCTGAAGAATTTCAAACTAGAACTTTAAACTCTTGGTGCTGAAGAATTTTAAACAAGAATTTCAAACTTTCTGTGCAGAAGAATTTGAAACTCAGTGCTGAAGAATTTAAAACAAGAATTTCAAACTTTCTGTGCAGAAGAGTTTGAAACTTTCAGCGCTGAAGAATTTAAAACTAGAATTCGGAACTTTCAGTGCTGAAGAACACAGACCCACAAGGAAATCCTTTATTTGACCTGAGGCTGTAGAAAAAGCTGCCAGCAGGACGGGGCCACTGTGAAGGGACATGGCTGAGGGGGGCAGCTCTGAGACCTCCCCCAAACCCCATTCAGAGGGAAGGGCTCAGGGCTGGGAGGGGCGCAGACAGACAGACAGACAGACAGACAGGGGGAGGGCTGGGGATTCCCTTTACCAGCAGCAGCTCCAGGCAGGCCTGCCAGCACTCCCTGCTCTGAGCCAGCTGTGCCCTCAGCCCAACATCTGCACAGAGCCTGCCCAGCACGGCCAGGGCACGGGCCAGGGCTGCCCAGGGCACCTGCCTGGCACACGCCTGCCTGGCACACACCTGGAAACACAGCAAGGCAAGGCAAAGTCAGCACAAACCAGCAAACAGGACATGTGTGTGTGTGTGTGTGTGTGTGTGTGTGTGTGTGTGTGTGTGTGTGAGTGTGTGTGTGTGTGTGTGTGTGTGAGTGTGTGTGTGTGTGTGTGTGTCTGTGTCTGTGTGTGTGTGTGTGTGTGTGTGTGAGTGTGTGTGTGTGTGTCTGTGTCTGTGTGTGTGAGTGTGTGTGTGTCTGTGTGTGTGTGTGTGTGTGTGTCTGTGTGTGTGTGTGAGTGTGTGTGTGTGTGTGCCACCCCCTGGCACTCCAGGGCTGCCCAGGGCACCTGCCTGGCACACACCTGCCTGGCACACACCTGCCTGGCACACACCTGCAGACACAGCAATTCAGAAATCACAGCAAGGCAAGGCAAAATCAACAACAACTGCTCAATCAATAAACCAGCAAACAGCACCTCTGGGTGTGCCACCCCTGTGGCACTCCAGGGGCTCTCTGATAAACCCCAGCTGCCCAGACTTTGGGGATTTCCCTCATTTTCACTTTATCTTCAAGGCAAAATAAACACAAAGCACCAGCAAACAGCACCTCTGGGTGTGTGTGCCACCCCTCTGGTCATGGGCAGTGGCACTCCAGGAGCTCTCTGGTGAGCCCCAGCTGCCCAAAGTTTGCAGATTTCCCTCAATTTCAGTTTATCTTCAAGGCAGGATCAGCCCCAAACAGCACATCTGGGTGTGTGTGCCACCCTCTGGCACTCCAGGAGCTCTCTGATAAACCCTAGGTGCCCAAAGCTTGAAGATTTCCTGCATTTTCACTTCATCTTTAAGGCAGAATCAGCCCAAACCACCAGCAAACAGCACCTCTGGGTGTGTGTGCCACCCTCTGGCACTCCAGGTGCTCTCTGGTGAACCCCAGCTGCCCAAAGTTTGCAGATTTCCCTCATTTTCACTTTGTCTTCAAGGCAGGATCAGCCCCAAAGAGCACTGTGTGTGTGTCACCCCTCTGGCCATGGGGAATGGCACTCCAGGAGCTCTCTGATCAACCCCAGCTGCCCAAAATTTGGGGATTTCCCTCATTTTCACTTTATTTTCAAAGCAGAATCAGCCCAAACCACCAGCAAACAGCACCTCTGGGTGTGTGTGCCACCCTCTGGCACTCCAGGTGCTCTCTGGTGAGCCCCAGCTGCCCAAGGTGTCACAGTCATATTTTTTGGAAAAAATCCCTTTGCCCAGCACACACAAGAACAAACTGGAAATACAAAATCAGATCTCCCCTACCTGCAGCTGGGTGAATAAAGGTGAAACAGCCGTGGAGAGCGTGGCCCGACACTGGGCTTGGAACCTGTTGGGGGATAAAGAACCAAAGTTTTAGTCAAAAACCACAGCTAAAAGCAAGAGAGGAGCAATGGAAACCTCTCAGTAAGCTCACAGCAGAGGTGGCCAACAGCCTGTCCCTGGCTCATTTCACACAGCTTCAGAGAAATGAATGAGGAATTTAAATAAATTACCTTTCCTCCCCACTTAAGTCAGACAGGATGTTCATGGCACTATCAGCCCTTGCATCAGTGCACTTGACAAATGCCATCAAAATCTGCAGCCATCTGGTGTTAAAATAATATAGAAAAAAAACAACCAAAAATTGGTGTCAGCCTTGGTTTAATCATTAAAGATCAAAATTGGATTTTTTTAGGTTGTTGGTATTTGAAGCCACAGTTAAATCTGCCTTTTTAAGCACCCTCTGAGATGTGGCTCATTCCTTTCACCTTTCCTCCCCAGGAAAATGGACAATGAGCACCCATTATTGCTCCAAAGCAGTAAATGGACATTTCTCAGGGGGAGGAAGCAGCAGGACAAGGGACAAAGGCAATGGGCTTTCCTCCCCACTCAGTGAGCCATGGCAGCACTAAATAACCCCAAAATCACAATTTTTAAATGAGGAGAGGCTCAGCTGCAATCCAGGAGATTTTAGAGGCACCAGGGCGAGCTCTGCCTGAGAGCTACAGGGGTTTGGAGGAGGGGACTCCAAATTACAGGAACTCATTTAAAATCCTTTATTTCGGACATCAGAACACCCAACTCCCACTTCTGCCAGGCCAGGCCTGTCCCCAAGGGGCAGAAGCCTCAGTGCCACTGGGTCCCCTCAGGAATACACAGAATTCACAGAATCACAGAATTCACAGAATTCACAGAATCACAGAATGACCAGATTGGGAGAGACCTCAAAGATCATCAAATCCAACCCAGCCCCAACAAAACCTCATCTAAACCCTGGGCCCCAGAGCCACATCCAGGCTTTGTTAAACACCCCCGGGGATGGGGACTCCACCACCTCCCTGATCCCTGGAAATTCCCAAAATTCCCCCAAAATCACAGAAGTCACAGAATTCAGAGAATTCACAGAATGACCAGGTTGGGAGAGACCTTGAAGATCATAGAGTCCAATGAGGCCCAAAACATCAACTCAACCCTGGCCTCCAGTGCCACATCCAGGCTTTGTTAAACACCCCCAGGGATGGTGACTCCACCATTCCCATTCCCTGGGCATTCCTAAAATTCCCCCAGATTCACAGAAGTCACAGAATTCAGAGAATTCACAGAATCACTGGGTTGGGAGAAACCTCAAAGTTCATCAAATCTGACCCAGCCCTAGCACCTCACTAAACCCTGGCCCCCAGTGCCACATCCAGGCTTTGTTAAACACCCCCAGGGATGGGCACTCCACCACCTCCCCGGGCAGAACATTCCAGAACTTTATCTCCCTCTCTGTAAACAACTTTTCCCCAACACCCAGCCTGTATTTCCCTTGGTGCAGCTCGAGGCTGTGTGCTCTGGCTCTGTCAGGCCCTGCAGACCGAGCCCAGCCTTTGAGGAGCTGTGCAGAGCCATGAGGGCACCCTGAGTCCCCTTTGCTCCCCTGAGCTGGGCCAGCTCTGAGCCCTGCCTGGAGCTTTCCCTGCTGCTCTCACCTGCTCAGATCCTGCCTGCCCAGCAGCCTCCGGCCCCCCTCGTGCTCAGAGTAGAGGGAGATCAGTGCCAGGGCCTCCCTCTGGATCTGGGCTGTGCCACAGGACAGCAGCTCCGGCAGCTGGGCACCCACCTCGGCCTGGGCCAGCAGCACACGCTGGTTTTCCTCTGGAAAGGGACAGAAAATCTCTGCAATGTCCCTCATCGGCCTCCTCGTTTCATTTATTTTATTTTTTTCTGCATGAATATTTTATTTGGCATCAGCTGAACCCCACAAGCCAACACAATGTTCTGCATTTCCACTTTAGCGCCCACCCCAGCCCATCTCTCACTCACGTGGGTATTCCCTAAAAACAGAGGCAGGTACCTGCCCAAGCGCTGTGGATTGATAATTCTAAATAAATTCAGCCTTCTCTTCTGTAAAACTCTGCTTTTTGCAGGTGTAACTGCTTAAAACAGAGAAAACTCTGCAAGGGGTATTATCTTAGGAGCAGCAAAAATCCCAGGGAATTTACTGCCCACCCCTTGGGTGGATTGGAAATGTTCAGAGAGTGGAAATTCCATCCTGCACCCAACACCTCCTCTGACCTGCAAAATTTGGGTTCCAACCACGCCTGGATGGATGCAGGTGCTCTGGGAGAGGGGTGGCCATGCCCAGCCCCAGCCCCAGCCCAGAAATGCCAAATGAATCCCACATTAATTAACAGGGATGAGGGGGATTCCTTTACCATTGCCAGCACAGGCAGCTTGCCACAGCAGCAGAAGGGAAACACAGAGCTCCACCTCAGCAGGGCTTTTGCTCTCTGCACAGAAGGCCCTGGATGGGAAAAGTCAGCTTGTGGACAGAGCAAAGGGTGGCTCAAACCAGGGGAAATATCCAGGGAATGGGGATTTGTACACGGTTCACCCCTCAGGTCTGTCTGCAGCCCCCACCCAAAATATGGATGAACTAAAAAAACCCAAAATATGGAACCTAAAAAGTGCCAGGAGCACCCAAATATTCCCTGGTGCCCAAGCCCAGCCCCAGGGGTGCCCCCTGAGCCTTCACATGTTCTTCCCCACTCAGATTTTCCTGCACAGCTGCTCTCAGCAGCAGGGATGGGAGGAGTGCCCAGCCAGAGCAGACACCACGAGCAACCCAGGGCTTCTCCTCCTGCATCTGAGGGAGCACTGTCTGTGCCACAGGCAGGTACAAGTGCCTCCATTCACACACTCAAATCTGGCATTTCATCCTCCTCTGATCGGTCCAGCTGCATTTCAAGGGCTGGTTCTGTTTCTTGAAAACAATATTGCATTTCCCCAGGCTGGAGAGGCCCTCGGGGAGCTCTCACCCTCTGACAGCCTCGTTGCTCAGGATACTGAAGCCATTGTTTGTCCTGAAGAGCGTCTGCCCAGTGCCTGCAAGAGCACAGACAAACTCAGCTGGGGCACAGCCAGGCAGGCTCCTGCTCTTCCTGAGCAGTGCTAAAAGAAAAGGTCACAGCAGCAGCAGCTCTGGGGAAAAACATCCCTGGGAATGGGGGAGAATTCAGGGAGGAGGGAAGGAGGAGTGGTTCTGAAGCTGAAAATTGCTCTGGTTCATGCCTGGTGCTGTTGGCTTCAACTGAAAGAATTATTAATTATATTATATTAATTATATTACATTATATTGTATTATATTATATTAATTATATTACGTTATATTGTATTATATTAATTATATTATTTATAGTTATTATATTAATTCTATTATAGTTATTATATTAATTATATTATATTAATTATATTATATTAATTATATTATTCAGGAAGGCTGAAACACAAAATTGGCTTTGTAACTCAATGGGCTTTAACAGAGAATTACAAATATTTAGAAACAAACATTGCAAATTACAAATATTACAAATATTTATGAATTACAAATATTTACAGACAAGTGAGACCCCAAATCCCCAAGGACTCTCAGCAGCTCAGCTACAGCATCAGTCTGATGCTAAAAGGTGCTGTAAACACCCAGTGGCCAAGCTGAAATATCCACCATTGCCAGTTTTGTGTTTGAAATCCAGGAACAGTTACTGGGCTGTATCCACTAATATCCTTTAAAAGCTGCTGCCCTGCCCTCCTCTGCCTGGCTTACACCTCCCAGAACCAACAACAATTAACAAAATGAACATTTTGCAGCAAAGACTCACAAGAGCTCACGGCTCCTGCCAGCAGCACCACGGCCCCTGTGTAGTAGTGGAGGTCGTGGCCAGGGCGGCGGAGCCTCTGCAGCAGCTCCTGGATGGGCAGAGCAGCCACGCTCCCGGCCTGGAGCTCCCTCTGCGCTCTCTGCTCCTCCCTCAGCCTCTGCTCCTCCAGCCTGGCCTCGGCCACGCACTCTGAGAGGGGGACGGGGGACGGGAGGGTCCCCAGCAGCAGGGGAGAGAAGAGAATTGGCTTTAAGTTCTCAGAAGGGTTATATATTATTATATTCTATTAATTATTATATATATAAACTATATTATATTATATTATATTATATTATATTATATTATATTATATTATATTATTATAATTATATTATATTTTTCTATATAAAATATATTATATATAATATATAATTATACATTATATAATTCATAATATGATAGAATGTAATGTAATATAATGTAATGTGATGTAATATAATGTAATGTAATATAATATAATATAATATAATATAATATAATAATATATGTCTATATATAATTAATATAACATAACATAACATCATAATATAATATAATATAATATAATATAATATAATATAATATAATATAATATAATATAATATAATATAATATAATATAATATAATATAATATAATATAATATAATATAATATAATATAATATAATATAATACAATGTAACATAACATAACATTATATGATAATGATATACTAAAAATATACTAAAGAAAAAGAAAGGAGACATCAGAAAGCCCGAAAGGAATGATTAATTAAAAACCCATGACTGCCCAGAGAGTCTGAACACAGCTGGACTGGGATTGGCCATTAATTAAAAACAATTCACATGTTTTGTAAACAATTCTCCAAATCACATTCCAGAGGAGCAAAACAGGGAGAAGCTGAAGCTTCCCAGGAGAAGAAATCCTGGCCAATGGATTTTTCAAGAAATATCACAGTGGCAGGAGGTGACAGGAAACCAAGTGTGGCAGGGAAGCTCTGCTCCCCCTTCAGCAGATAACAAAGGTGAAAAGATCTATTTCTCACCTTTAAAGAGGTTTTCCTTCTGGGGATCAATCTGCAGCATCTTCTCATAGCACTGCCTGGACTGCAGGGGGACAAAAAGGGCTCTGAGTTGCAGCTGGAAACAGGAATCAGTGATAGCAATGATATCCCAGTCAGAGCCCAAAGGTTTCTGGGGCCACAGCCCTTAATAAATGGGAAAAGTAACATTTATGGGGACACAGATGGCAAAACTCCCAAAAAAGCCAGATATTCTCAGTCCCTACATCTGCCTGCTGTTGCAAATTCAAAGGGAATTTTCCAGTAAAACCCAAGGAGCAAAGAATCAGAGTTCCAGTGGAAACCAGGAACTGAGGCATGGCACGGAACTCTGTCCCTCTCACCCCCCAAAGCAGAACAAAATGTGGGCCCAGGGCCCCAGGATTCACCCAGCTCACCTCAGAGAAGTGCTGCAGGGCCAGGTGAGCCTTCCCCATGAGGAAATAGGCTTTCAGGCAGTTCTTATTGCACTGAGGTAAACCAGAAATTATTATGAGTTATGTCTTTAGAACATTTCAGCCTTTCAGTATGTTTTCTAGCATTCTGATTACTAATTATTAATTATTCAAATTCTGATTATTAGTAGAGCTGCCCAAAGCAAAGATCAGGGTGTTTATACCATTTATTAGTGGTGGCTAATATTTTTATGCTGAATTATTGCCCACAGAGACCCAAAAACCACAGGCTTGAGGTGAGGACAGAAAGCAGGGTTTCCAAAAGGTGATTATTTTCCAGTTAATTTGAGACAAAAAATATGGATTTCTGTAAATAATGCTGATTTTAGGGGTCTTTTCTACGTGGCAATTGTGGAATTACCTTTAATGCCCACTCACAGTCACTGATGGCTTTCTCATACTCATGGAGCTTCAGGTAGGCCTGAAATAAACAGAAAAAAAGTCCAGGCAGAAGAATTGGAATCCTTTAAGCAATTTCTGCTCGCTGTTGCACAAACACTGGCTAATTAAAAAGAATAAAATGAGGCTGCTGATTGGCCTGGCCATTGATTTTGCAGGGTAATTTCCATTCTTAACTCGTCTGCCATCTCCCTGGATGTTCTAATTTAGAATCAATGGAATAGAATTCTAAATGACACACAAACATACAGAGTGCACAAGGCAAACAGAGACTGCAAAGCAAATATTTCACTCTGCAGTTATAGAAGTCATTCCTGGAAAATCATTATTTTTACTTATTAATATAATATAATATATTAAAATATATCTAATATCTAATATATCTAATATATCTAAAATATTTATCTATAATATATAATATATAGTATAGAATATAGAATACATATTATATAATATATAATACAGATATATTATATATTATATATTATAAATATTATATATTATATATTATATATTATATATAATACATTATATATAATACATAGTATATAGTATAATATTACTATATAGTGTTATTATATTATATATAATATAAATAATATTTATTATTTTATTTTTTTATTGATAATAAAAAATGCAGAGTATTTGAATCAAACTGGGAATTGGAAGGATTTTCCCTCACTTGCTGTGCAGGAGCAGGGGTTCACCACACCCAAGGGGTGTAACAGAACAATGGTTTGGGCTTTTACCCTGGCACAGCCACACAAAACCCAGCCAGAAGTGGCTCCTGCCCTGGCACTGACCTGGGCCCTGTTTGTGTAGAGCTCCTGCTTGTCCCTCAGCTTCTCCAGCCCCTCTGAGTACCTCTGGATGGCCAGAGCAAAGTCTCCTGCCCTGAAGGCTTCGTTGCCCTGCTCCTTCAGGGCTGAGAGCAGCAGAGTGAATTGAGAACAGCAACAATGTCCATCAGTATTTAATTTATTTCATCCCCCAGTGGGACTGAGCAGGCAGAGCCAGGCTCTCCTGCTGGAACAGCCCCAGGGTTCCAGCCCAGCCATTATTGCCATTATTTCCATTATTTCCATTATTTCCATTATTTCCCTGCAACCATTCCCCTTCCAGAGGAAGAACTGAGTGTTCCCTTCCCCTCCCAGCATCCCAAACCAGCTCCACCACCTGAGATTGTGCAGAGCACCAGGAGCAGCAGCTCTGAGGAGCCCTGAGCCTGTCCCAGGGCTCAGAGGAGCCCAGCTGTGCCTCCCCCAGCCCCTGGCAGGGGTTTCTGGAGCTGCTCTCAGCAGTCACCGTTTGCCAGCTGCTCATTCCTCCTCCTCCTCTGCGCTCGTTCCTTGGCATCCTTCTCCAAAGCTGCCAGGAAGCCATCTTCCAAAGAGCAGAGTTGGTGGCATTTTAGAGGGGAAAAAGAAGAGCAAACTTCATTAAAATAGCGAAAAAAACCAATAATTCCCAGGGTACTTCTGAGTCATTTCTTAATAAAAGCCAGCACCAAGGGGCTGTTTCAGCAATTAAAGTGGAAGTGGCTGAGAGGCTGTCACAGCCAAGGATGATGCCACCCCTGAGGAGCTGCACACCTGCCTTGCTCCTCCCCGGGGCCAAACAAACAGGTTTGCTTTGAAATTCACAGTAAAAAGTGTAAAAAGATGAGGAGCCAGAAGAGAACAAGGCTCCCACCTGTGGAAAACACAGCCATGCTGCTGAGACCTCGAGTGTGCTCCTGGGTGTGACTGAATTTTGGTTAAAGACGCCAGGAAAAGGGGCGGAATCAGCTCTTGCATGAGCTCCATCCCTGCTGGAACTGGTTTTAGAGCTTGGTTTTAGAGAGGAGCAGTGTCCTACCTGCATCTGCTGCCTGCACCCTCGGCGTGCCCTGGAAGAACAGAAACAGAACTCAAACGGTTTGGGAAAAGCCACAAATGGTTTGGGAAAAGCCACAAATGGTTTGGGAAAAGCCCCAGCAGCACAGGGACACTTGGCTGGGCTGCACAAAGCCACAGCAGCATCAGGAATGTCTGAAACCCCCAGCCTGACAGCAGGAGCACCAGTTTGACATTTAAACAAAAAATGGTAAAGATTTGATAAATTCTGGCAGTCCTGGGAAGTTCCCATCTGTGTCTTTAACCCGGACTGAGCCCAGCCTTAATTCCAGAGGGAAAAGCCCTTACAGAAGTGTTGATGAGTGTTCTGTTCACCGTGGTCCTGCACTCCTCCTCCTCCTCCTCCTCCTCCTCCCTGCTGGCCCCTTGCTCTCGGAGCCTTTTCTCTGTCTCAGCAATGGCTTTTTCCTGCACTGCTGAGTCCGGGGACTTCAGGTCTTGCAGCAAATTGGCTAAAAAATCACAGAAAAATCCCAGATAAAATAAATGTACACATAGGACTTCAAACGTGGAAGCACCGGGAGTTCAGGTGGCACCTGCTCTGAAGGCAGTGCTGACCAGGATGGCTTTTACCATAAAACCACTGAATCCCAGGGTGGTTTGGGGTGCAAAAGACCCTAAAACCCACCCAGTCCCATGGGAAGGGACCCCTCCCATAGGCCGGGATGCTCCAGCGTGGCCTTGGGCACTTTGAATGAACAGAAACTTTCCCAGGGTGGATTTCGTGTCACTTTAAGGACAGAAACCTGCAGTTTCTGCAAACATTAATGAAATCCACAGAAACAAGCGGCACTTCGAATAAACAGAAACTTTCCCAGGGTGGATTTCCCATCATTTTCAGGACAGAAACCTGCAGTTTCCGTCACTTTCGGGAGCCCCCTGCAGTTTCTGTCACCATTACCGAAATGCACAGAAGGAAGCGGCTCCCAGCATCCCAAATAAAGGCGAGAGCCCCTCCGAGCCCCCGGCAAACACCGAACAAACCGAACCAGCCGGGGCACAGCGGGGATTTGCCCCTTTCCCACCGATGTTCCGCCGTCCTCGGCCCCGCTCCTGGCTCCCCTTCCCCGGCTGTCCCCTCTGTGTCCCCCGCTGTCCCCGCGCCCCTCCGGCCACTCACTGACATCGTCCACGCGGCGCAGGAAGCGCTGGAAATCCGCCTCAGTGTCCTTGTCGCGCAGCATGGCCGGGGGACACCGGGGGGACAGAGCGGGGACACAGACGGGACACAGACGGGACACAGACTTGACAGAGAGGGGACACAGAGGGGACACTGAGAGGACACCGAGGGGCAGCGGGAGCCGCCGGGGCCGAGCTCGAACCCGCGGCGCCGTTGCCAGGGGAACGCGCCGGACGCGGCACCCGAGGGTGGGCGTGGCGATGCAAATGAAAGGCGGGGGTTATGCAAATAAGAACGGTCGCGCTATTTAAATTAAATGGGCGCGGTTATGCAAATGAGCCGGTAGTTTGGCGGGAGAGCGGCAGGTCCGTGCCGAATCCCGGGGTTATCCCGGCTGGGAAGGGGCTCCGGCAGCACCGAGCGCTCCCTGCGGCCGTCCCCACCTTGTCCCCAGCCCAGAGCTCTGGCGCCACGTCCGGGCCATCCCGGGCACATCCAGGGACGGGCACCTCAAAGCCCCCGGGCAGCCCCTGCCCATGGTTCAACCTTTCCACGGAGCAATTCCTGCCGATGTCCAGCCTGAGGCTCGTCCCGATTTTTATGCCAGACTCGGGCAATTTTCCTGTTGCGATCTCCTGAAAGGCTTCCCGGCTCTCTGCGAGGCGGCGGCGATGGAAGCAGTCGGCCACCGCAGGGAGCCCGAGCACTGCGGAGCTGCGCTGCCCGGGATGGCCATTCCTGGTACAAACCCATCCCGGGATGGCCATTCCCGGTACAAACCCATCCCGGGATGGCCATTCCCGGTACAAACCCATCCCGGGATGGCCATTCCCGGTACATTCCCGGTACACACCCATCCCGGGATGGCCATTCCCGGTACAAACCCATCCCGGGATGGCCATTCCCGGTACAAACCCATCCCAGGATGGCCATTCCCGGTACATTCCCGGTACAAACCCATCCCGGGATGGCCATTCCCGGTACAAACCCATCCCGGGATGGCCATTCCCGGTACAAACCCATCCCCGGATGGCCATTCCCGGTACAAACCCAGCCCGGGATGGCCATTCCCGGTACACACCCATCCCGGGATGGCCATTCCCGGTACAAACCCATCCCGGGATGGCCATTCCCGGTACAAACCCATCCCGGGATCGCACATTCTGCACAGGGACAGGGACAGCTCACCCTGAGGCTGCTGCGGCTCCGGGAGCCGCCAGCCCAGCCTCATCCATTGCCCATCCATTGCCCACTTCCCCATCCATCCTCATCAGCTGGAGATGGAATCCTGAGGTGCCAGAGAGGTGCTGAGCTCCACAGGCAGCCAGAGACCCCCATCCCTTCCACCCCTTGGCTGTAGGAACAGGCAGCATCTCCCTTTTCCTTGTAGGAACAGCCAGGATACCCCTTTTCCTTGTAGGAACAGACAGCTGGAATGGACAGAGCACTGCCCCTCACAGCTGGAATGGACAGAGCACTGCCCCTCACAGCTGGAATGGGTCCTCACAGCTGGAATGGACAGAGCACTGCCCCTCACAGCTGGAATGGACAGAGCACTGATCCCCACAGGGAATATTCCCAAGGAACACACAGACACAGCCTCCACACCCCTCCTCAGCTCGCTCCTCTCAGTTAAAGGCTTCTGCTCTTTCTAAGAGTTGTTCTCTTGTCCTCTTTTTGTTTTAAATTAATTCCTGAATATTTATTTCTCATTTTTGTTTCTCAAATCTGAACTAGCGCTGCACCTTCCACATCCAAACTGTGTTGAAGCTTTTATTATTTCAATACTATGACAAAAAACACGGTTCACACTAAAATAGTCACGCACCCACAGTGCACAAGCTTGCAGATCTAAAGTAGAATTAAAAAAAAAAAAAAAAAAGAAAAGGGAAAATAAAATAAAATAAAAAGGAAATAATACCCAAAACCCCAACAGGAGGAACATCTCTATACAATGGGCTGGTCTCTCCCTACACTCCTCTGCCTTCCTTCTGCTCAAAGCTCCTTTTCACCCCCAAATCTCAGTGTTGCTCCACGATTCCTGATAATAAATCCCATTAATCAGCACTCCCACCCCAAATCTCAGTGTTGCTCCACGATTCCTGATAATAAATCCCATTGATCAGCTCCCCCATCCATAATTTAATTTTTCAGGTGCTGCCTCAGCCCTTGCCCAGGGATGGCCCTGGCACAGAATTCCAGCCCCTGCTCCTGATTCCAGGGTGGGTCCTGCTGGCGCTGGACCTGCAGAAGGGCCTGGGCTCTGCCCAGCACCTGTGGGGAAAAGATCTTTTGGGTTTTAGCTTTAGGGTCAGAGGACATGGTATTTACAGAAATTGGAATTGACTGAAATGGGGATTTTCTGAAATTGGTGTTTACTGAAATTGGGATTTTCTGAAATGGAGATCTTCTGAAATTGGTATTTACCAAAACTGGTATTTTCTGAAATTGGTATTTTCTGAAACTGGAATTTGCTGAAACTGGAATTGACTGAAATTGGGATTTTCTGCAACTGGAACTTTCTGCCCTGATCAGGAGGTTTGAACACCCTCACCCCTCAAAAAAAAACCCAAACCAAACCCCAGCATCGCTTTTCTTCTTACTCCAGTAAGAAATAATAATAATAATAATAATAATAATAATAATAATAATAATAATAATAATAATAATAATAATAATAATATAATAATAACAATAATTAAGAAAAGAGAAAAGGGGAAACGACTACTGTAAACATCCATGGTTGAAAATGTCTCCCTTTGCAAAGCAAGCATGCTGCTACCCTAGTGTCTACAGGACTGGATTGACTGAAAAACCAAAACCAAAAAGAAAAAAAAAAAAGGCAGCTATTTTACACATCCATTTCAACACAACAGAAGTTAAAAAAATATCTGTCAATTGTAAACACTGGAAAGAACCAAAGTTGGCCAAAAAAAAAAAAAACAAACCAAAATTGAACGTAAAATTGGAAAAGAAATGTAGAGTCTGAATACTGCAAATTGAAATACATCCCCCAAAGCTGCAATTTTGGCATTCTTCCTAAAAAATAGATAATAATAATAAACCCCAAATAAAGGTCTGACGTGGCGAGCAGGATTCAGTCACAAAGAGCTCGAGACACTTTGCATACTGACCAGATACAAGGTGAACAGAAATTATAACTTATTTATGAGGCTTTACATATTTCAAACTCGACTGAAAAGTATAAAAATAAATTGTGGACTTTGTTCTTTAAGCACCAGCTGTGCCCAGAGGCACAGTGGTTATCTCTGCTATACTAACAAAGGAAACAACAGGGTCTCTTTTCTTTTTTTTTTTGTCTTTTTTGTGGGTTTTTTTTTGTGTCTAGGACTACTTGATTTTGAGCTTCCCAACCACACTGCAACCAGCATTGCAATGTTTGCTTGTTTGAATATACACAGGGCCAGCTGAGCCCTGATTTGGTGACGGGTTTAACCCTGTTTTTAACATGTTTTACTTTTTAAAAGCAAGTGCACAACGAATAGAACCTTTCTAGAAATCTCAAAGAAAGCAAAAAATAGAAATCAAAATTAAAAAAACAAAAAAAGAGAAGAAGAGTAAAAATAAAAAAAGAAAAGGAAAAAGAGACATTCCCTCCCCCCCATTTATGCATTTTTCAGGTTGGTTTGTTTGTCTTTCTTGTTTAAAAAAGGCAGCAGACACTGAGGGATGAGATGGGTGCGGGGGCTGCGATTTCAATGCTGGGGCGGGGCTTGGAGCAATCGCGCACGCGTGGGCGGCCATGGGGGGGGGCGCGGGAGGCGGCGGAGCTGCGGGAACGGGGCACGGAGCGGCGGGAACGGGACACGGGGCTGCGGGAACGGGACACGGAGCGGCGGGAACGGGACACGGGGCCGCCGGAACGGGACACGGGGCCGCGGGAACGGGGCACGGAGCGGCGGGAACGGGACACGGGGCGGCGGGAACGGGACACGGGGCTGCGGGAACGGGACACGGGGCTGCCGGAACGGGGTACGGGGCGGCGGGAACGGGACACGGAGCGGCGGGAACGGGACACGGGGCTGCCGGAACGGGACACGGGGCTGCCGGAACGGGACACGGGGCGGCGGGAACGGGACACGGAGCGGCGGGAACGGGACACGGGGCTGCCGGAACGGGGCACGGGGCTGCGGGAACGGGGCACGGGGCCGCCGGAACGGGGCACGGGGCCGCCGGAACGGGGCACGGGGCCGCCGGAACTGGGCACGGGGCCGCCGGAACTGGGCACGGGGCTGCGGGAACGGGACACGGGGCTGCCGGAACGGGAACCACGAGACGTCGGTGGCTGCAGGGGGCGGCGGAGCCGCGCCATCCGGCAGCTCGGAAGCAGGAGGCTGCGGCGGGGCACGGCACGGCTCGGGCCGGCGCCGCGGTGCCGAGCGGCGGCAGCAGGAGCGGGAAGGCGGCCGCGGGCGGCGGCGGGGCGGCCTCGCCAGCGGGAGATGATCCCGGCGTGGCGGGAGGCGGCGGGAGGCTGCCGCGGGGGCCCCGTGCCGAGCGGTGCGCTGGGCGGGCGGCTGGAGCGCGGCGTGCGGCCGCTGGGAGCCGGGCTGGCTGCCGGCCCGGCGGGCAGGAGCGGCGCCGGCACGGGGCGGCCGGGCGGGCCGGGGCGCCCCGGTCCCAGCGCCGGCGGTGCCGTGCCGGGACCGGGGGATTGCGCCGGAACGCCAGCAGGGACGGGATTAAACACGGGCGTGTGCGCTGCCGCGGGGCCCGTGGGCAGCTCGGGGTGCGCTGCGTGCGCTTGAACGGCGGCGGCGGGGGGGGGGGACAGGGCTGCCCGCGGCAGCGCGCACAGGGGGCGCTGGGGACGCAGCGCGGCCGCGCCAGGCGAGCTCGGCACCGCAGATCCCGGAGCCGCGGGGAACGGCAAAGACGCAGCAGCAGCGACGGGACTTGGGCCAGCACCGGCCCCGCTGGGTCGGCAAAGGGGGCGGGGGGGGGGGGGGGGGGGGGGCGGCAGGAGCGGCCGCACTCGCGGGTAGCGGGAGGGAAAGCGGCGGGATCGGGGGGGGGGGGGGGGGGGCGCGGTGGTGCCGGTGGG